AAAGTGTAAAATATATTCAATATAATCAAAACTATTCTTTTAGCTTCCTCCAAGAAATTCATTCTTCCCTCAAAGGTCTCGCAGGCCTAACTCAATAGAACTTAAGGGCTCAGTACAATAAAAACAAGATAAAAATCGTGTACTCAAAGATGCCAAATTCATTTATTAAACATTTCATTGCTTCAACAAAGACCTTTGATCTAGAAATCACTCGTTTCATTCTACTTTTGCTGCTCACTTCTGGATTTGTCCTTGCTCTTTTTGAACTGTGGCAAGTCAATCTCTGAATATATTTTAACTATTAGAATGGATTCAATATGAAGTTTAAGTAGTACAGTTATGAATGGAAATTTTCACAGATGGGGCAGTAGGCTAGACTATTGACAAATGTCAACCATGGGGTGAAATGGAGGATGGTAGTCCACGGGGATCAAGGAGTGGACGACTGGAGAGTTGAGTTACTGGTTTGGACTGCTAAATGCAGTTTGTGACCTGATATGTACACCCCCAACTAATTTACAACAAAAATTGTTTAAAAACTAAGCAAACTTAAGCCCACAAATAAACCTGCATGTGGATGTTTTAAAAATGTATTCAAAAGGGAAACATTGGATAGATTCATCTAAAATATCAATTTATACAAGCATATCATGTGTATTTCTTTCCTTCAACAAAAGGTGACAGGCTATTTTTGGTACCTGAAGAAAACCCATGTCTATGTTCTACCCCACAAAGTAAACTTCAAGGTCTAATACTAGTATATTCTGACTATGAGAACTGGGGGTTCATTAATGATAATTATTAAGACAAATGGAAAAGGTATTTAATGAAGTTTAAGTGTTGTGCTTTCAATATAACATCTATAAAACTAGTATTTTTTTAAAGTAGAAAACAATTTAAGACTTTCTAAAGATAAATCCTGAAGTTATTGAGCAGTGTCCAAAATAGAAAAAGCAAATTTCTTTCCCCTGAATTTTTAGCTTCATTGTTATCTTTGTTCAACATCAAGTAGTTATTATCAGGTACCTGACCACATGCTGCCAGTTGTAGTAAAACATTAAATCTAGTTAGTTGAAGGATGTGGTAGCAAAAAAACCCAAAAAAACTAACTTAATTAAATGAGCTGCCACTGCTAAGGTAAGGTTGATGGCTCAAACCCACCATGAGGCTCCCTGGGAGAAAGACTTGGTGATCTGCTACAATAAAGATTACAGCCTAGGCAAAGTAGAGGTGATTTAAAGTAAAATGTGCTGTTCATTTCAGCAACTTATCGCCCTTGTAAGTTTTATGTCTTTATTAAGTTAGATTTTTACGTTTTCTCAACTAAATCAGCACCATGCAGGACCTGTGTAATTACTAAACTATAGGGACATTTAAATTATTGTGATTAGAAGGAAAGAATACCCTTGATATACCTATAAAGTTATCTGAGGTATCCTATTTTAAGTTTTTCTTCTGGTCCCCTATCTAAACATTTGTTTCTTTATTCTTTCAATTTAGAAATCTTAAATCAACTAGATTATCTACCCAAAAAAGGCCAAGTGAATTTTAATGGCACTAAAACGTAGCAGTACACAACCAAGTGTTTCTCCAGGGAGAAACACTTAAGCTCTGGATTGGGAATTGGAAGAAATGAAAAACCTCAGAATTACTCTGAAAAAAGAGAAATAAGAAAACTCCATTTTAGAAGGTTATATTCCCACTTTTTTGCTCTCCATCGATAACTGATTTTTGAGAACAAGAATATCAGCTTGAAATGATGTTAAGACCTATTGATATGAGTTCTATTCTTTAAAATCTTTCAGTGTGCTGTGCATGAAATGCCTAGTTCTATTTGTTTACCTTCTTACTACATGGAACACAGATTGTTTTTTTCTTGCATTGGCTGCTTGCAATCAACTAAAATGTGCAGGACTAGATCCAGGACAAATTAAAGACTCCCTAGTGGTACCACAGCTGCTCAGGTGGTAACCCAAAGGTGGAACTCACTAGCCACTCCATGACAATGATGTAACATTCCCTATAGTTGGCAGCCTAGAAAAACACTATGAAGCAGAAGACAGTGAGCTTAGAATCAAGTATGGGGGCTGAATCGTTTCTCTATTGTGATAAAATTCCCCTTCAGGAAAAAGTGACTAAGATTCAACAGATTCACCATTTATTTTACCATGTCAATGCCTGAAAAACACATACAATTTGAAAGATTAACATACAGAACTCAAATAGTCACTTTTATTATTACTGTTTACCAATGGGGAGATGCAGTTTATTTACACCAGTAGCCATAGGGCCAAAAGGAATACACAGAATTATTTAGCTATCTGTATCAGATGGACTACTTAAGCAAAAATAAGATTCTCCAAAACAACGGTCAGTGGTGAGCCTCACTACCCTCCCCCAAATGATCCCAGCATGCTATAATGCCAGGCAGTGGTCCTTGGGCATGCGGTGGTGGAAGCTAATGTATTCAAGAAAAAGCCACAAACCACAGAAATTTATAAAGGATCCCCTCTCCCCCGTACACACACACTCAAGATATATAATAGAATTACAAGGTGATCAATACACATAATTGAGGTGGAAAGGATGGGGATTCTGCTGTTCAAGGGAAGGAAGAGTTCCTAACCATTGTTAACTATATGGTAGGGGGTATTCACTCCTACCAGAAGAAAAAGTTTGTTCCCTCAGGAGACCTGTGGACCAAGTCAATCTCTTAATCACCCAGGGCAGGGGACTATGGGGGCAAAGACAAAACCCCCAGAAAACAAAACTGGAGGGGATATAAATAAACCTTTACTCAAAACTACTTTCCATGCCCTCCTCCTCCAACTAGAATGAGAAGTTGTTGTGGAAACAGTACTGATATGCTCTAGGTTCTCTCTGAAGGACTAATAGATCCCAACCCCCCTTCAACCTGCTTCCATGACATGATGGGAAAATAGGCTGTGGTCCCACCAAAATCCTTTGCTTCTGCATGCCCTTACGACGTCTACAAAATGTCAAGAACAAAGAAGACCTAGGCCTCAAAATTAGTTAGGTACTGTCAAAGTCTGACTTTTTAAGAAACTATCACAATTTTTGGAAAAAGACCAACTTGTAACTAGATCTCCACCCTGACCAGGGCAATTCTAGATTACAGTAAGGGTGTTGGAGGCCTTTTTTCTAAGATTCCTTAACCTTCTTGAGTATATAAACTAAATCAGCCCAAATAGTTCAAGAAGTTCCTTTTGGAAGGACAAAAAATACATTAAAAAAAAAAAATTGCACAGCAGGGGTTCAAAGAAATGGATCAGAACCAGGCTCCATTCCCGTGTGTAACAGTCAGTTTTTACTGCTCTTCTGCTTAGGTCCTAAGAGAGGCAGTGTTCAAGGTGAGGTGGGAAGATATAACTCCTCATGAAGTAAGCCACAGCAGGATGGCATATTTACAAGGCAGTCCTATAAAAGGGAAATGCTTAGGCATGACATTGCCTTTCAAACACAAAAATTAAGTTCTCTTCCTATCCAGTCCCAACAGAGGGACTCAATAAGCAAGAGTCTTCGGAGTCTTCAACAAGAACAGGAAAAAACCAAAAAGAACAAAACTTAACAGCGGCTAAGGAAAGGGAAACTGGGCAGGCATCAGAAAAAGGATGACTAGAGATGAACTGAAATGAAACAATGCGGAAGCCAGGGGGGTAAGCAGCACCTGGAAACGGGCTGCATCAGATAACGTAAAAGCAAGGAAGGGAAGACACGGGACCTAGCCAGAAGGGAAAGGACGGCCCCTAACTGGGACACAGAATGAGGTAAGAAAACATTTTAAATAAAGCAGCACCGTTCCTGCTAACCTGCTAACTTGGGGCTCCGACCCCTTTATACCTCACCAACTCTCAGTAAATAATGAGTGGCAAGTAGTTTTGATATGTAGTTTTCCCTTCCCAACATCCCCATCCCATTCTTTGAAATGAAGGGAATTTAGAGGCCCTTCCTTGACTTCCAACTACAAAAGACATCTTCTATTATCAAGAAGGTCCAAGGGGACTAGGAGGAAAGGGCTGCCCCTGTGAGGGGATGGAGGCGATGACAGTCTGGATGCTCAGCACAAATAACTGATATTACTGCCTAATCCAAGGAAACGGGCATCCATTGATTCTGCACATAGTCCAAACGAGAGATGACTAAATTCTGCACCTTGGCTTTTAGCACTCATCCATTCACATTATTGAGGGCAGCTGGAAAATGTTCCTTTTGGGCTCAGCTTTAAAGCTATTGCCTCACACAATGCCATGTACTCCCCTATAATTTACTGCTGCCCTTGGAGAGGGAGGCAGGTAACGTTCTGGCATAGTGACCAAGTCAGACCCTTAGCCTTGCTAAGTACCTAGATATTCAGTAGGAAAATGACTGCCACACTAAGTTTTGTCCAAGCAGAATACATCCAGATATGAGTCTTGTTGAGAGATAGTGCATAGTTGCAGATGCCCCATGACTTGCCCAGGGGATAACTGTACCTCAGCCTGCCTGCATAACCCAGTGTTTTTATATTTGCCAGGCCTATGCCAACAGAAGAGGGTCACAAAAGTGGGTTCTAGTCAGCCAACGGCCAGCCCCTGTCCCCAAGTCTGTTGAAGTCATTGTATATGCTGGACCTTTCATAAACAAGTGGCTTTGACCTTTTCTTCTTATTGGGACCAAGGACACAGTGATCCTTCAAAGCACACAGATGAGGGTCTGACGATCAGTAATGTCCGTCCATACTGTTATCCAGCGAGTTCCTGGCATCAGGGAGTAAGAAAGGCCGAGGAAACAAAAGCCTTCGCAATCAGGGCACACAACTGCTTATCTGTACACTGGGGGTAGCACAGAGACCTGTAGTACACATCCTGGTATGATCAGAGATCAGCTGTAACACATGGTGCTTGAGGAAGCAGTTCAAATCCTCCTGCCCCAGCTTTCAGAGTCCCAAATGATAGAAATTTTACCAGGATCTGAACTGCTAAACTCTCCTTGCGTCTTTAAGGATTAAGATCTTGATGGAAAATTGTGACTTATTTTTTCTACCTAGCTTACTTTTCCAAGCAACAGGACCGGTCTGTAAGTGTCCTGGTCGTTCACAGGCTCTTCCGTGTTGCAGCTACTGGAATTCAGGGGGGGAGCGCTGCAGCGGCTGGTCAGGCCCATTCCCGGGTTCTCCAGGTAGGGAGCACAGAGGGAGGCGGCACGCTCCTTTATCTTCCACCGGCTGGATGCCAAAATCCTTCACGTTACCAGTCTCGGCGAACTCCAGGTAAAAGTAGCCACATTTGACTGCCCGGTGTACTTCAAAGCAGAATCCCAAACAAGAATCCTCTATCAGGTCTACGTATATCTCCTGAGCGATGGCCTCGAGCTTGTTAGTATCCAGGTTGGCCAACGAAATTTCCTCCATCTTAATTTGCACACGGCTGTGGACAGAGCGCAGGTATTACTCACAGAGGCACCGGCAGCAACACCTCGGGCTCCGCAGGCCGCGCCTAGGCCCAAAGGCCTCTCCGGACCGCGTCCTCTACGGGTGGTGATGGCGGCGGCGGCGGCAGCGGCAGCGTCCGCGGCCAAAGGGCAACCACAGTTGTGACGGTGCCGGAATCCCACGCCGGACCGCTTAGGTCTGTGCCGGGGTCTGAAGGTTGGCGCCCCGGCTGCCCCCGGACTCGAAACCCAACCGTCGGCCGGCTCTGCCCTCAGTCAGCGGTCCCGGCTCCTTCCGCTCGCGAGTCCCGGCTTAGCCCCGCCTCCCCGCCACCGGCTTCCGCTCCCCAGCGCGCTTGCGCACTGGCTCCGCGCAGACTCGGCGGCCGCGTCCCTTTTTCTGCCGCGGCGGAGGCCAAGATGCACATCGCCTGGCTGGGTTGTGTGCTGAAAGCCCCTGATCTCTAATAAATTAAATAAACAAGCAAACCGAAAACCTCGAGGGTGTTATTTTGTTTTTAGGTGGTAACATTCTTTAATGAGTGCAGCGCCCATGTTTGCTGATTTCCTGTGGAAATAATAATTACTTATCCTCGTAGTATGTTCCGGAATAGTACGGTTTTAGAAACTGTACTATTCCAGATTCATATGGAAATTTTTCTTGTCATACAGTTGACTTGTAGACATTTATAGTGGTGGAGTACTTGTCATTTAAATCCACTAGATGGTGCAAGAATTTCAGGTTTTTTATTATTTTCAAATGCAAAACTAGGCACCAGGGGAATACATATATACATCAAATGAAGCTCAGGCATTCATCTCAATTATAAGACCAGTAATCCAGTGTGAATATAAATAGAATATCATAACAGAGGACTTCAAAAAGTTCATGGAAAAATGGAATATTTCCAGGAGAAAATTGAAATGTTCTTCATTGTTCAAATAATCTAGTCTATGTAGTTTGTCTTGAAGGGGGAGGAAGCCTAAAATATATTAAGTATATGGGAAGATGAATCTTTTCCTTAAGTTGAGCAGTATAAATTGTGAGAAAGAGAAACACTAACTGTATTTAAATAATGGAGTTCACTGTGCTTCTTTATCAGAATAAAGTTAGTCCGACTCATGGTTAAGGACCCCATGCTTGGTGAAGTAGAGAACCTGGACAATATGGATTGACACTGGTTATAACAATGGGCTCAAACATAACAACTTTGAGGATGATGAAAGACTGGGCAGTGATTCATTCTGAGGTTCATAGGGTCGCTGTGAGTCAAAACCAAGTCTACAGCACATAACAACAATCATACCTCTGAGTGTAGCATGTCTAGTGAGTGAAAAAATACATATATGATTACAATTTCCACTCTCCTTTATCTTCTCCAAATGTAAAGAAGTGCCTTTCAAATCTTAACGACCATAGAAAACACTCAGGGTCTTTCACAACATAAAGTATGATTCAGTAGGTCTGCAAGAGAACTTGCGTTTTTGCTTTGTTAGCACTGATGCCAAGGAGTCCGTTTCCAAGGACTGGTCTGTGCAGATAACATGTCCAAATACAGTGGTATAGACTGAGAATTTCTACTTGTCCGGGACTATGGGAAGATTTTTATATTGTCATGCATAAATCTCATTACAAACAATGCAATTTTATATACTACTGATATTTTGTAAGAAGAAAAAAAAATGAGATTAAAAAGTCAAGTGAGCAGGCCAAAGTCACACACATAGTTATGGGTATGCTTTAAAAAGTGGTTCTCAACCTTCCTGATGCCGCACCCCTTTAATACTGTTTCTCATGTCGTGGTGACCCCCCAACCATAAAATTATTTTCTTTACTACTTCATAACTGTAATTTTGCTACCGTTATGAATCAGGCAACCCCTGTGAAAAGGTTGTTTGACCTCCAAAGGGATCGCGACCCACAGCTTGAGAACCACGACTTTAAGAACTTGTACAAGCATCATTATCTAATGTGATCTAGCGTACAGCTATGTTGAGATTCCAACTTATATCAAAATACAGTGCAAGTGTTTGTATAGAGAAAATATAAATTACACAATGGCTACAATAGGGGGGAAAATATTCAGAGCTAAGTTAAAAACCACCCTCTTGTCGAGCCTTAAATAGCCACGGTCTACCCTATCTGCCAATTCATGGTTCCCAAGAAGGAAAGGAAAAGAAAGGAGTACTATGGCTATCCTTCTTCCAACACAGATTTATTTGGTCTTTTGGAAGTTCGTGGTATATTCAATATTCTTTGTCAACATTGTATTTTCTTTCTCTTTTTTTAACATTGTATTTTTAATCTTTGATCTTCCTTGCTTATTATGCTGCTTCCTCATTGTATATGAGGTGATTAGAAATATCATGGCTTGTATCAGGCACACCTCCTCTTCAAAATGAAATGTTTGCTTTTAAACACTTTAAAAGGTCTATTGTAGGATAATTGATTAATTCAATATGGCATTTGAATTTTTGATTCAAAAAATGGTCATTGATGGAGAATCAAAATAAATCGTTCACTGACCCTCCACCTTACAAAGCACAATGTCCTAATCCAGGGGCTGGTCTCACCTCTGCCTGATCTTCAAAGCTGGGACTAAACAGTACCGACCAACACATGAAACATTCCCTCAAAATTATTTGAGTTTCTAAAGGAGGCTGAAGCAAATCGCAGAACCCAATGGTGTAAAATAATATACTCAAGAGAGGAGTCAGAGGGAAATGGGGTAAAAAAGTATCTTGGAATGGTTAGAAACTTGGGATGCCTTTATTCTCCAACTCCTTGGGACTAATCTGGTATTAATTCTTCTAAAAGAAATCATTCTCACAGTTACTTGCATCCACATTCAACACAGCCATGAAAGTAAGTAATAGTGCACTAGGCAAAACTGCTGCAAAAGATTTCCTTAAAGTGTTCAAAACTAGATGCAGTAGCAGACCGCACACATAGGCTCCATTCGCTCATGCCTCTGTTATTCTGCAACCATGTTTGAAAACCCCCCACATGACTGAGATGGAGAAATCTGATAAGTCAAAATTGAAGAAGACAAAACTGCAATAAAACCCAAAATGGAAAAATGGGCTACAACTAAGAAATCTAAGATTAGAATTATTGGAATCTCAAAACACTAGTATAGCAGACACAGAAACAATTTTCCAAGAGAAGATTCCTCAGACAGAAACAGAATAGGCCCACAAAAATGCAAATTTGAACACTGATAATAATTTATTACTAAATGTGTTTGTCTGGGTTGACTAGAGAAACAAATCTTAGGAGACTCCTATGTGTATAAGAAAGAATTTTATATAAAGAATAATTGTATATTAAGAAAACATCTCAGCCCAGTCCAGATCAAGTCCATAAGTCCGATATTAGCACATTTGCCAAAGACCAATCTATAAATTCCTCCTCAGACTCATGCAAAACACGCAATAGCACCGAATGTAGGAAGATCGGTGACAGTGGAAGCATCTCAGCACTGGCTGGGGTCTCCACAAGGCTCCTCCAGCTCTTGGGCTCCAGTGTAGCTCCACGTGTCACATCAGCAGGAAGATGAATCAGAGAATGTGTCTCCCAGCTCCAAGGAGGAATACATGTGTTCCCAGACTCCTCAGGAGAAGACCATGCACACACAGGGGCCTCATTGACTGCGACCTGAGCAACAGCCTAAACTCCACCCCTTCAAAAGTTCTCAGATTATATAACTGCCACACTATACAAAGCAGCTGAAGCTAAATTTACCAAAGAATATAAAAACTACTTTTTAAACAATTTCAAACTTATAAAAGAATTGTGAGAATGTTACAAAAATTTTTCTAAATTGTCATCCTCCATGTCCAGTATTTAAACTTTGTCACGTTCGCTCCCTCTCCTTTTGTCCTGTCTGTTTCTCCACCGCACCCAAGTCCGCATTAAATTTTATTGCTAAAAACCACTATGAAAATTGTTCCCCTCTAGTTTATTTGCTAGCAGGCTCTAGACATCATGCTTCTCTGTCCCTAAAGTTTCACTGTTTATTCCGTAAGAACCACTATCTTTTCTTACATCACCACAAAATAATGATCAAATGTAAGAAGTGAGTAATTCAGAAAGCGATTAATATTAGTATCTAATATGCAATGTATATTCAAACATTTTCATTTGTGCCAATGATGCCATTTTTGACAGTTTTAAAATTTTCCTTGATCCAGTTCTGGACTATCCATTGCCATTATTCATCTTGTGTATTCAATCTCTTTTAATCTGGAGCAATTTTGTAGCAAAGCAATTTGAAAATAAAAATAATAATGTACAGCAACTGAAAGACGTTTAATTTCAGATTAATATGAGTCTAGTGTCTTAATTAATCTCTACTTAATCTCGTTTTCTTCTCTGGGTTCTAATATCCATTGCAATAGCTACACAGAACTCAGTGAAAAAATTCATGATTAAAGGGTTTATTAAAGAAGTCAACAAGTTATAATACCAATGAGAAGTGGTCAGGACCTTTTATCTACCAGGACAGGACATATTAAAAAGTTGTAGGTCTGCTAGTAAATGCCCCAGGGGGCATACCACTTTGCTGTAACCTCAACCTGAAGGCCATCAGCTCAAGATCAGCAAATCCAACTCTCTCAATTAAGTGCCCAGAGGCACTCTACTCCAGAAAGCCTTAGCCTAATGC